TCTCTGGAGATGGATAATAGGGTTTGAACAAACAGCAGTCTCATACTGGGGTGTGTTTTTATTGTGTTTATAGGATTACCCATCTGAAGCAGTATCTTGGAATTACAGTATAAATTCATCTAGTTTCTCTGCACCATTGCAGCAAGTGGATATTTCTCTGTAACTTTATTGTTGTTTAATTTCAACCTCACTATGACATTGTTCCCAGGGGATTTGCTAGATACTGACAGCAAAAGGATGACCAGGTAGCCTTCATGAAGGACATATGGCACAAGGCATTTATCTTTACATGCTATCGGGCTGCTTAGGCCAACCTGCTGTTTCCTTTTGAGACCGTTATGTTTTACATTTGCTTGTGCTGTACATAATAAAAAGTAATACTTTACTTCAAGAAACTTGAATATATTAATACTCTCTGGCATATTGTATGTGATGACAATGTGAAGGTCACCTTAGATCAAATATTGTGCTTTAAGCCTGTAAACCCATAAGTATAGATACCTTACAATAATAGCAATGTATATTGTATGTGGTTCTGAATTGAATATACATTGTATGAAACATGGTGTGTCTCCACTGATTCACCAGTTGCAACTATGTTACAAAACTAGAAAGCACACAGAGAGCACACACTGTACCTCTGCCAAGTCTCCATAATCCTGTTTATGTATTATTATTTTAATAAAAGGAATATCTTAAACATGCATTTAAATAATGATGTGAACAGGATACATGCACCAAGTAAGTGCAGTAGTTGATGGAAAAATAGCAAACATTTTCAAAAATGCTATGCTTATGCTAGTTTTGAGAAATCCTTCAAAAATCTGAATTGGGATCGGCACCAAAAACGAATCATTCCTTAATCCATGGCTGGACTTCCCACCAAATGTGGCTGAAATCTGTTGTCTACTTCCTGAGCTACCATGCAAACTAACAACAGGCAGACAAACAAAGCTGATAACATAACATCGTTGGCAGAGGTAATGAAAAAGACGCTGAACTGAACTGGCAACCATTTTTCATAAAACACTGTTCCGTAAATATTTCCTTTATCTGTTTGTATGTGAGGATCCAATTTTTCAGAGCCAATTTAATATCATTCCACCCTTGATCAGTCTTGTTGCAGATGGATTCCCTTGTGTAACATCTGGCGGTCTCTAGGCAGTATGCATCCCTCTATTCACTCCCTTGCTTATAAGCTGGTGTAAAATTGCCCCTTTGAATCTCCTCCACAGTGGATCCCTCATTCAGCGAGGCAGCCGTTCCCTGCGCACAGTCAAAATCTTTCTTTATTTTGTGTAATATGCTAAACACAGCCACATAAGTTCTCTCTGTCTGTTTCTTTAGACTGATGAATGTGGCAGAACGGCTTTGAATTCCCCAGCTCCCAACGGTATGATGTGTGCCAGTCTCCTGGATTATGAGACATATGGAGGCATGTGAGTACACAAGCATGAACAAATGAAAAGTCTGACACAATCTCATACACACACAGTTACATCGATGGGAGAAACCAATATAGGTGGACACACTCACACCCAGCAAATATTCACATTTGTGTTTAAAGCTTGCACATTACAAATTTTACTAAACTGTGAGAATTTGAGATTTGGAAAAGCCTCTAAAAACCCTCCAACTCAGACTCGCAGACTTAACAGTCATATTTTCATTTGAAGAAGTTAATCCAAATCTTTCGTTGTTAAACCTCTGGGGCTGGAGCAACATACTCTAAAGAGCCTTTGCCATCGCCCATCACTCTAGTGCCCCAAAGCAAAACTGTTCCTTAGGGTTAAATTTGAATATGAACTTATTGTTCTGCAGTAACGGTACAATTGATTAGAAGTAGAAATATAGAATGCAAAACAATGCATAATTGTATAGTAGGTCAAGGGCGGAATCATTGTCCACAAGAACACTGCAACTAGAGTACAACAACCATCTCTGTGATACCAGTTGGAACAAAATAAAAATGCTTTGTTTGTTGATGCATTATTGATAATGCTGCAGTTGTTGAAACGGACTAAAATAAATATAAAGTAAGAGTGTGATAAAAGAGAGGGACTACAGAACCACTCCATCCCTGGCAACATGGTATGATCTACTGCTGAATGTCATCCGGCCTGTGAACTGAACTGCAAAGGTCACTGTTGTTAGTGTTATTGTTTAAGTTGTAATCATCAAAGTTTTTGTGTGTGTGTGTGTGTGCGTGCGTGTGTGCGTGTGTATTTGCGGGTTGCTGTTGAATGTACCAGTTTCTCTCTGTGTGCAGAAAGTCTGGTTTTGATCAGTGCTGAAGGATTTAAAGCTAGTACTGTAATACCTCATTCTGGCTTGGTACCAGTGACACACTTTTCACTAGTCTTCCTCTTTGAACTACAGATCCTCTGCAGGGTGAAAAAAAACAAACAAATCACATGTAACATCCTCTTTTTGTATTTCTGTGTGACAACCACACTTGTGAGTCTTCATGATGACAAATGCTGCTGCTGAACCTTGTATAAACGAAAGACATGTATTTACCTCCTGTAACATCACCGGTAGGTATGCTATTAGGTTAAGACAATTGTGAATTTCCATGCATAATATGTTAAAAGATAAAGTGGTCCATTTTAGTCAAATACTTCAACATTTTGGAAATACTCTTATTGGAGCTACAGGAAGGAGATGTTAGCTTAGCTTAGCATAAAAACTGGAAGCAGTTTAATCCATACAAAATGCCCATTGCAAGACTCCAGGAAGACACTGTACCCAGATGAGAAATAGTCCAGCATGGAACTCCCTGTAAACCCACAACTCATTTCACAGAAGAAGTTTTATTTTTTTCTATTCTATAAACTGCTGAAACTGTACTGTTTGCAGTTCAGATACAGTTACTAAAAGAAGATGAGCAGCGACTACTACTCTGTCATTGTATGCCAGCCAGTTAGAGACACCTAGTTCTAATAGGGATGATTTAATCACCTCAAGTGCTGATGTGCCCCAGCAGCAGCCTTGTGCCCTGTAGAAGTGTCCTTGAGCCTGACACTGAACCCCTTCTGTACCTGCTCACTCATCACTCTACATGGCAGCATCAGACAAAAATGTTAATGTGCATGTCAAGTGTAAAGTATCAAATGCTCCAGGTTGTGGTAAATGAGGACTGTGGTGTTAAAGGTTCACAGAGATAACCTTAACCTTAAAGGTTCTGTATATGATATTTTGAAAATTAATATAATTTAACTACTGCTATAGGGATCCCCAGTGCAATACAAACTGACACCAATGGGTCTTGACCATGCGTCCATATGTGACGAGTGAGAGTGACAACGGATTGGTTGAGTCCCTCCCTGTGAAACTGTTGGCTTTGAGGAGAGAGATTATAGGGCGTTGCTTTTCTCATGTAGGGTTTATTTAACAAACAAACAATATTTCTGCCAATATATCTGTAGGGACCCTTTCCATAATGTTGTCAGACACACAGGATTATGTTGCAGCCATTGCGTTTCTTGGCTGCCTTTTCACATCTAACTTGGTGAATTAAGGGTTTATATCGACCAAACCAGAATTTGTGTAGGAAGAGTGGAAAGTCTAATAAGTATGGTTTTGGTGAGTTTTATTTTGTTTCTGTCAAGTTTGAATGAAGTGTGGTATGCATTGATCTGCAAGGTAAAATGCTTTTGTCAATAGACTGTAGTTGGCCGTAGCACCTATTTGTTTTGGTTGAGATGCTAATGAGCCGTGTGGCAGTGAATGTCGCATCAATCAAACACTAAACGTACATTACAAAAACAGTAAACATATACTAAAGTTAAACAGAAAAAAAAATTCACTGAAAGAACAATCATTGGGTCTCTTGCAACAACAGTTTTGTCACCTATTCTGTATACACCAGTGATTACAAAAAAAAAAAAGTACTTTCATCAGGGTGTGTAGCATCCTTCAACACCTTAATTAAATGCAGAGGAGAGTATTCACCATAAGGCCGGGACTAATTCCTGCAGGATATCTACAGGCTATTTTGGATTCCTACAGGGCATCTATGGGCTATGGAACCCCCCCCCCCCCCCCACACACACACACACAGTGACAGCAGTAGAAAAACATCGCCCCCAGATGCATCAGATTATACCATGCAGTACATTCAATTACATCTGATGGCAGATGCTGTAAACAAAATCAAACACACATAATCTCAAATATTGGATCCTTCAGTTAGATATTAACCCTGATATCCAAAGACCTGACACAGGACTAGACATATTAGGACAAGGAACAGTCTGTGAGGGCTCTAAACTGACTGACTCAGCAGTTTTTGGATGAGGACTTATCCAGAGCATTATGAAAACACACACTGTAGTAAAACACAAATGAGAACAGAATATTGAGTGAATCACACATGGATTGGAAACACTGTCTCTTCGCTTATCTCTCTTTCTATTTAATCGAATCGGCTTTAACTAACTGACTTATTTTATTATAGTAATCAAGGGTTGATTACCCCAAATGTAATGCAGCTGTTGTGTTGTGCATACAAATATGTCTTGAATATAAAAGATTGATTAGTAATAAAGATTCATATTAATGTATATTTTCAGCAAGAGATTTCATTGTGATTATATGCTGCTCAGACTTGCCTACAGTGTTAATACTACCTCTTCGGTGCGTCACAGAGTAATTATTTTCTTTATTAGGCCTACACTTCTCAATCCAGACCTTTCATTTTATGGCCTGTCAACCAATTACTGTATGTAATACTAGAAGGTTTTTATGGCTGTTATCAACTTTAATCAAACAGCTTGACAAAAACAAATTGTAGAGCTTTTATTTTTCTCTTTTTATTCTCCAAAGATGTGTAAGATTGTCATATCTAGGCCAACATGCATGCATGAAAGTAGATAATAGCTAAGCAAATCAAACAGCCTGCCAGTTTAAAAATGTCTTAACACTTTTTAAAGTGATTAAAATTGAGAAGGTAACCTTGTTACCTCATAGACCATGGCATATGCAAATAAAAGACTCACCATTCCTTAGCCAGATGATGTAGCCGCCACTCTGTGAGAATGACGGCCCCCAGGTCTTTAGGTTGTCTTTACTATGCCATTCAACATTTGTCTTTCTCGAGCTCGGTAGCTCCTCTCCGTCTTCTGAAAAATAAAACAGACCCTGGAGTGAACTTCATTGTTTTTCCCAGTCAAAATTAATAATTCCCCAGTTAGATTTCTAATGGAAGGGTTAGGGGGCAGGTGGGGAGGTGGAAACAAGGAGGAGGGGAAGAGGGGGAGACAATTTGCTAATGGAACATAGAGAAAAATGGTGTAGACCTATTTCAGTAAAGGATGAAAGTAGAGGCAAAAAAAATAACCTCGGTCTGTCTGGAAAGAGCGAGAGTGAGCTATAGGGCAGAAGCTAAAGTGGTTTTAAAAAACACCATCATTAACTGTCATCTTCATCTCAGGTGCAAGGATAGAGAGCGGAGGTTGGAAGAGGGAAGGAGAGGAGGGAGCAAGAAGAGGAGGTACTGCCCAGGAGATCATTCAATACCCTACAATCTTCATTTAATTACCTGCTTTACATATTCAAACCACCCCCTCCCCCACTGCCATCCTCCTCTCTTACCTTGATGCAGGGGTCCCTGGAGATTGAGTTGCAGCTATTTAACACTGTTAATTACAGAAAAGGCGATCTCCTGAATCCCAGTTGCTCTGTAACTGTGTGTCCAGATTACAAGCCACAAACTCTGTCAGCAAGATGAAGCTCCAGGATTTAGGCTTCTTAATTCAGTGGAACATTATTTACAATCTCTCTCGACTGACTGGAATCGAGGTCATTTGAACTGTGTAGATTTCTGGCTAACTGAAATGCGAACACTGACAACATTTTAAGAGCTCTCAAGGTATGAACACCCATTCTTTGGTCTGTACAGTCTATGTTGCAAATGTAACACTATTAGGGACATTTTCCAATGATGACGTTTCAACAAATTGTGTAGAATAGATGACAACCGCACTTGATAAACTGATTGATGAACTGATATCTTCAGGTATACATGTAATTAATGTAGACATCCATTCATTTCCAATGTCTAAAATATTGTCACTGTTCATTAAAGTTTAAGAGAGTTGGAAGGTTTCTGTGCCACATCTGAAATGGCATGTTTTGTCATTTTTCTCAACCTAACAGAAACCAAATCTCTTTAAATGAAAATTAAATAACACGGGGTTGACACAATACAATGTACAACAATGGAATGTACTACAGCACAAAACAGCCAGGCACCAAATGTTAACTTTGTGAATAGTATTAAATTTCTTTGATTGCCATATCCCAGATGCAGATTATATAGTACTCTGTGGTGCAGAGGCTCAGTGCATGTACCACAGAGCAGTGACCCAGTGCCACTGCTGTTTACACCATCATTAAAGACTACTGTAGGCAATATCACACGCCTGGTTAACCACGTCTTTCTAATAGCCTGTCATGTTTTCTGAAAGTACAGGTGATTTCTCTCAAGAAGAACGGTGGCCCTGGTCGATAAGAAACAACTAACAGGCACCAACGGTGATATATAAATATATTAAGTGTTTGTCCATTTAAAACTATGACACTAAAAACGAAAAGAAAAACAATATTCAGATGGGACGTGATAACACTGGAATAAAGAAAATGGTAGGAGCCTCACACTGTTTACAACTGTTGGGGAGTCAATATACGAATTAAGATAACGTGAAAAATCAATTAGATAAAGCTCACTTACTTAGCTCTGCCAAGAGTATCCTTTTTTTCCTCTTCTCTTGCTCTTCTAGGCTCACACTCATGATGAAAACACTTGTGTGTCTCAAAATAACGTTTGATCTACCAAATGTTTAAACGGGTAAGCTGGGCTTGCCTAGGACACGAAGTTTTAACACTGTTTGTAGTGGAAAACAAAAGGAAGCTTCTGGAGATTATTTTTGAACTGTTGCACAGGGCCTTGAGGAGGTGCTGAAGCGCTGAGCTTATCTTGATCAAACACCAACATGGTGCAGCTTCCTCACTGGGCCTGCAATGGTTTCATTGTTTTTTAGATTTTTTTTTGCTCTCATTGCTATTGCTTGTTGCTGTGATACTGTAGGGGCTTTCATCATTTCAGATCATTTTAAGGTATCTTTTACCTGTCCCGACAATAGCAATTTGCTATAGTTTGTCTCTAACTTCAAACAGATGACAACACAGTCACTAAGTCAATGTCATATTTTCAGTGGTCTTTCATGTGGTGGTGATATTTGTCTTTTATTAATATTTTTATTGTAATTCACTTGGTTGTCCTGTATTTTTTTTAACACATCAAATGTTTAGGATGATTCAGGAAATTATGCATATATCAGCATGCACACATCCCCTTGTGAGGACATTTGATTTATTTACTTATTTTATGGAGGTTTATGCTTACATTAACCATTAACCATAACTGCTGTGTGCCTAACCTCTTACCCTCAGGTGATAGCACCTACTCTACACTGCACAAATCATTGTCATATGTGCACTGCTGAGTTAAGAGGGACATCACTGGGGTTAATGTGCAGAGCTCTGAAAGTTTGTGTCTGTGAAAAAACGCATTTTGTTGCAGGCTTTCCTCAAACAGATTTGGAAAACATAAAATTGCTCTACAGTATGTTCTTAAAAACAAAGATGGGGCAGCAGAGGAAAACTTGTTGGTTCACACAAATTTATTTTTAAGTAATTATCTCAAATGTAGTTTTACACAGCCTTATAAAAATTAAGTCCAACAGTTTTCCAGATGCGGCATTTCTACTTCTTTACTCAGCTATAAAGAGCATTTTGATATGTTGATTTCACATGGACACACTTGGAGTTAAAAACTCCAGCCATATGCATTGCTTTCACAGTAATATCTCACTTATAAAACAGGAGGGCTGAACACAAAGACACTGATCTTCCCCATCTTTATCCCTCTTGGGTCTTTTACTTTCGTTGAATTAATCATGGAGGCCCCCCTGAGAGGATGGGACATGCACAAATCCCATGGAGACTCTCCACCTCCCAGCGTGTATATTTTTTGCTACATACTGTGGCTGTAGGGGAGTTTTACACCAATTCCCAGGAGGTAGGAGTCTATTTATACAGGATCCTAAAACAGGGTAGTCATAACCCCCCCTACCCCTAAGGCAGCAGCTTTAGGTGACAGAGCTGACACACAGCCACATGATAGTCCAATCTAATCTTTTAATCGCTCCGGTAACTTCATGTCTCTGGGTGAGTTAGGCCAAGCTAGCGGTTGGGATTGAATATCTTCTGCAGAGATCCGATATGATCCTTGAACGCATAATAAAAAACACACACAAACTCACATGCAGACTTATACACACTGTCCCGCTCCACCCCACCCCCATAGTACTATGGTGAAGCCTCATGTATCTGGGTATTAACAGATCAGCGCAGAGCAGCAGCCACCCTGCTTTAAAGTCTTTTCCTGAGGTAGTGCTTCAGAAGCCTGCTGCAGAGGAGGATAAACGCGTAGCAATCCCCCGGGCCCAGCGCCTCCTCAGCCTTCTCTTTGCTGCCCCCTCCTACTACTCCATTCCTCGCTTATCCCCACTTTCCTTCCATCCCTCATTATTTCTATCCCCCTTCTTTTCCTCAGAATCTCATGCTTTCTGTCCTACTATCTGTACCCTCCTTCCCTCTGGCCCTTCATATAATTCTCCTTTCCATGCCTCCTTATCCTGCTCCCCTCCCATTTTGTGTCCATCCCTTTCTCCATCTTTTGCCCTCATCTGTCTTTCTCCAGACTTCAGTAATGAACAAGGCCTGCGGCCCGTCTTTGCCAGCTAGAGAGTAAGGCACTCATGGTTACACATTGTAACCTTAGTTCTATGAACACAGGCTGAGCGCTGTAATGGGACTTAAGCCTTGGCCACTCATCTTAGTGTCTTTATGTCCCAAAAGGCCATGCTCTCCTGGTTTCTCATACACCAAGTCTTAAGTGAGGAGTTGATCATCTGGGAAACTGGTTCATGGGCAAGTAGCTTACAATATCCTCTCCTTTACAGATGCTACTGGTTTTACAACTTTACATTTAGTTTAAAATAGTACATACAAACATAAAACTCACAAACATTAATTCAGACTAAACAAATGGTAGTTGACAATAGCTTCTTGAATAATGTCTGAACTATGGTTTTGTGGAATATCAAAACTCTTAATTATAGTGCTACTTGACAGTGACCTTATGGCAATTAAACTTTTAGGAAATACACCCATGTATATTGTCCTTGAAAGTAAGATCAAAGTAATTGGGGTTTTGCTTTTGCCCTGTCTACCATCAGAGGACTTTCCTATTGGGCAGGACAGCTGCTTTGAATGGAGCCACTTCATGAAGGGTGACTGAATTTAACTGAAATAGTAAACTATAACAAAAATGCTTCTGACGATGTATGAATATAATACACAAATAACATCATGTGTTGTGAATTGTTAGACGACGGTATGACTTAAACAATACATCAGATTTTCTGTTTGTAGAAATGTTGACTTTTAGGATTCAGGAAATTGACAGTTTCCACATTCTGTGTTTTATTTTATTGTCAGTCAGTCCCTGGGGGCATCCTTAAGATTCTGCAATCCAAAGACACTGAGATACTATTGCAGTCAATATATTGCATTGACACCCTGCCAAGACATGCAGACAGAATGAGTTCATTACATGCAGTTTTAAAAAAATAAGAAGGAAAAAATAATAATCCACCTGAAGCAAGTGTACTTATTTGTGGAACGAACAAAATGATATATGCATCTGTTCATTGTAAGGGTGAATTATTATTTATTATTATTATTCTTGTTATTCATGAAACAACAAACCAACTGACATGAGCTCTATAAGAGTGAGGCAGGAAGGGTTGGGGGTAGGGCTAAAAATGGGTGGAGGTATAACTTGCTGTTGGTAATCCTTGTTAAAGACTAGACAGGCAGACACACAGGCAAACACCATGCCATTCAAGTAGACAGAATGACAGATGAACACACAGACAGACTGACAGGCAGCACAGGGAGGGGTGAATCCAAATTAAGCTGATCAGAGCTCACTGTGAGTTAATCTAGTTATGTGGATAAAGGACTTCCCTATGGCTAAAAACACAGCAAGTTA